ACATACCCCTTTTTCCTTTTCCTGAGGGCCAGTATTACAGCAGTAGACATTATCTGATGTATAGCACACACAATTGCCCAATGCCTTACAACAGCAATTACTATTTCATGTAAGAATGCTCAGAAGCATTACATTATTCCATGTCGTGTTCCATGATTCCTTGTTTGCGTGAACACTACCTCAAAAACTAATGATGTAATGTATGGTGATTAACATAACACAATAAAAAAAAAGCATTACATTATACACTTCCATAGAGGAACATCTGAATAATGAATGCTTCCTTTCCCATTATTATTATGGGCTTTTACAATACACACAAAAACAGCATTTTTAGAGGTTAGGTCAGCAAACACAATAGAAAGATTGAACAGGATACCAAATGTCTAATTCCTTAACATTTATATCTGTATTAAATGGGAATTCTAACAAATCCTGTTACTACCTCCCCTTATAATAAGTAGCAGATTTATCTATTTTTCTAATCATATTTCCAGAGGCTAAAAGCCCAACAAATATTTAACTATCATGACTTGTTTTTCTCTCCCATTCTCTGGGCAGAGCATTTTAATCTGATAAATAGAAGAAACCCAGAAAGAGATTCATTTGTGTTGTATTAAATGGCTATACAAATGTCAGTTTATTTAAAAAATAACACAGATTCTTCTTATTCACTCTTGCTAACTTCTGTGTGTAAATTTGCATTGTGGGGAGCATGTTTTTTTACAGACTTTTTAAGTATGATTAGACTTTATTTACTTAAGGCATATTTTATAGAAATGGCTCCTTTTTGTGTCATGGAATGAATCAGAAGTATCATCACTCGACATTTGGTGAGGTTTAACCACTGTGGCTATAACCTCCAACCAGAACTTACATGCCACGCAAGCAAATGACCCTCATCCTTACTGTTTACGGAAGCTTATGTGCCTCAAGTTCACATCTCTCAGATAAGCTTTTATTTAACTGGGCAAATGTCATGTTTGGCGGCATCATAGTTTATGTACTTGTCAAAATCTGTTAGAATATGGAAAACACTTTAAAACTATCTTCACATACAATTTCATAAATGTAACTAGTCATTTAAAGATTGAGCATATATATGAAAATCAATACAAATTCAAATTATTTTCAAAAGTATCTATTCTGGTCTCCAGATAAATAAAATAGCATACTCACACTTATATAAAATACTTCACATCCATACTTTTTACTTAATGATGATCAAGAGCTCGGGCTCTAGAGCCAGATGGCTGGAGTCTGAACCTGAGCTTGGCCACTTACTAGCCTGAAACATTATTTAACCCCTCTACAACTCAGTTTTCTGTACTGTATACTGGTGATAATGAGGTCTACCTCATAGGATGAGGAGGATTAGATGAGTTAGTATAAGTAGCATGCTAAAAACAATGTCAATAAAGGACAGTAAGCCTTGTGGTTTCCAGGATTCTTTTCGTCATAATTAGCACCATTATTACTATTGCTGTTGCTACTACTACAACTGTTACCAAAATATATTTGTTTATGACCTCGTTTGACACAGGGTCAACTAGAAACTTCTTTGTGAGGCACCTCTATCAATTCTCACTTTTCTGCTCATAAACTCAGGTTAAACTTAACCTTTAGTGGAACACAGAAGATCCTGAGGTGACTTAACATCGTTATCAACATCAATATGCCTGGATTACCCCAGCAACAGAGAAGAGATTGGGCTAAATATTTACTAGTTCTAGAGCATTCCTTAATAATGGGCAAAAGTGTATGCATATCAGCACTTAAACACAGGTCTCATAAAAAACCGGTTTTTCTATTTTCCTCCTGATTCCTTATAAAACAGGGTTATTGTTAAGTTAGCAGGTTGATGTTTAAATTATGACGTAGAAGTGTCATACTCATTTGGTTAAGTATGACATCAAATCACACATTTACCGTCTCAGCTAATCTCCTTATGTTTTAAATACTTTAAAATAACGTATAAACTAAGAAGTCATCACAGAAACATATATTCCATGAAAAAAATAAGAAATGCTTCATTTTAGTTTCCTTGAGGAAAGGGGGTTTAGAAATACATGATATCCATCATTACTACTAGACTAGGTGTCCAGAGAGTAACCCTCTTTCTCCTCAAGCCAAACGGCAATGTGCCCAGCGAAAGAATCTTCTATTATCATGCTGAAAATGTCTCTTCTGAAAGAGTAAAAACAGCACAGGCACCTCATTAAATACCAGTGCATTTGACCACAGTCGTACTTTCAAGAAGAAGACAGATCACAGAAAAATTATTTGGCTATTTTTAAATATTTAAAGAAAAACAGAACTTCTAGCTTCCATTGTATATAAGAAGAATTGCTTGAAATACCTCCATAAACATATGCCAGAGCATTAAAGGCTATTCATTTCACTGGACATGAATCATGAGGTACCAAAATGTCTGCACATACAATCGGTATACATTTCCCATAAAAAGGGGAAATATTTGCATGCATCCTGAAAATATATTTTCCTTAAACAAAATTCTAAATGTCTCAAGTAGATGGAATAAATAGATTTTTCTTCCAAATACAACAAAGTTAAATAAAACTAGGTTTCTTCAGCAATATATCACTTCACAGATTTTTCTCTCTCCAACATACAGAAAAGAGAAAAAAGAAAGAAAGAAAAGAAACAAAAATCTCATCCCTCCAAAACCAGACCTGAAGTGCAGAGCTCAGTACCAAGAGCCAGGCCAAGGAGATGCAGAACAAGCTTGTCAGGAGTCATGATGGAGACTCTTCCATTAACCTTGTTTGAAGTTGAAAGTCAACAGTAGCATCACCATCCATAAGTGCTGACTATGACATTGCAAAGTCTCTTACCCATAGTTTGTAAAATGTCTTACTGCCAGAGTCAGGTGAGCATGCTGAGATGATGTTCAGTAGAGATGAATTGTTCATGCGCAAAGAGGCCATCTGATGGCCAACTAGTTGAATTTCAAGTTTTGATGATTTAAACATAAATCTTATTTCAGTAAGCTAAAAACTGAATATTATGTCAAATAAGTCATGAAATCCTGGTAACTGGTAACATAAGAAGCATCTTCCTTATCTGTGTTCACTCAACAGAAAAAAGTGGTGATGGAAGATGCGGAAGGCGTCATTTGCCTCTCTGATCATTTCATCCCTAGACAAGAGACATTCTATGTCACATCTGCCCATTTGTCAAGTGACTAATCCTGGCTGCTGGACAGCCTTGATATATGTACTCTCTGCCCATATTCCTTGCCCAGTTTTCCCACCTCTGACACAGTCCATGAGAAGAGGTATGATTCAGACTAAGTGTGCTAGATGCAAAGGTACCGTGCAAAAGATTTTTTTTAATATTTATATCTGCCAGAAAATGTGGCTTTCCATTTACCTTTATTCCCCGTAGCACTGCCACCTTGGCCATACTGATTTATTATGAGATGAAGGATTTTCTGGTCTTTAATCATTACTAGGCATAGTCACTGACATTACTAGGCATAGTCCTCCTTCCTCAGTCAGCTGGTTTACTTTTAAACAAAATTTTATTCAGTGCCTACAATATGCCAGGTACTGTCCAATTTACCATAGTCCCTGACCTAAGGTCACCAGGGGCCAGCTTTACTACCATAAATGATTCTGAATAATTCAACTGCATAATGTTTAGGTTTGCATCATTTTCAGAACAATAGAAATGCCTAGGGTGAGCTGCATATCCACTCAACTAGAGGTTCAAGGGGTCTAGCTGTGCCATTCAAATCCATCCTTCCCTGGCTGGATTTGTCAGTATCCATATGATGGGAGGTGTCTGCTCTGAAATAGATATCAATGGGAACAACTCTGGGTCATACTTCTAGCTACAACTTCCAGGTCAGAGGCAAAAATTCCATTGGTTACCACTCATCTGGGAAGAACAGTCCAGGAGAATACTGGGAACTTGGGGTCTCATTTATCTCTCTCACTGCCCCCCAAGACTGAGCTGCCCACCATTCTCCTACTTCCATGCACTTTTTCACCCACCCAGCAAAATTAAGAAATGTAGCTACTCCCCATTTCAGGGTGAAGGACGGATACCAATAGTAATACCTTCTCTCTGGAACTCATTATTGTGGAGTGCTACTATACCTTCCTGAATGACACCCTTGAGAAATTTGCCATATCATTTCATGATCAAGTCCACTGGGTGGAACAGCTGGGCAATGTTGCTTGCAAATGTTTTTCTCCAAATGCACTACTGTTTTTCTCCCAATGCACTATTCTTTTTCTAACTCAGGTGTCCAAAGATAGATCCTTTGATCTAACAGAGAATAGAGATGTTGGTACTAGATGTAAGACTCTTCCATATATCAAATACGGTGTGATTGTTTAGCTGGATTCTAAAGGTGTCCAATTCCACAAAATACCAAACACATTATAGATTACTAAGGACTGGACTTCTTACTTATTTTTCTTTGCCCACTTTTACCTTTCTTTCCATCCATACTAGTTCTCAGATGAATTTCAATCAATTGACAGGTTATTTCTAGACAACTAATTCTGGAAACAAGCAATAGCTAAAATTCTGGAAATACGTATCATGAGGCTACAGAGAAAATCATTAGGACATTATCACTTAGTAGAGACAATGATTTGTTGTTCTATTTGGGATAGTCTTACTTAGCCACATGTCCTAAAATTCTAACCTCTACTATCTGATTAAGGACTTTGGAGGTTACACAGCCCAGAAAACAATTTCATTTTTTTTTTTAAGATTTTATTTATTTGTCAGAGAGAGAGAACAAGCAAGAGGAGAGGCAGGCAGAGGGGAAGGGAGAAGCAGGCTCGCTGCTGAGCAAGGAGCCCAATGCTGGACTTGATCCCAGGAGTCTGGGATCATGACCCAAGCCAAAGGCAGATGCTTGACTGACTGAGCCACCCAGCCATCCCCACTCTTTTTTCTAATGAAAGTTCATACTTATGCCCAAAATACTGTCCAATTTCAAGCAACACACAAGTACTCACTTGTTTAGCCTTGGTCTTTGTGATGGTGTCAGAAATAGGTTTTTTCCTCTCCTTCACAGCAGTTTTAGAAAATAATTCCTCAAATTCATGACAATCTATGGATGGCTCTTCAATTTTTTCCCAAATAAGTGAAGCACTGGAGTCTCTAAAGTTAAGCAAAAGACCAATGAAACAGCCATCAAACCAAACTATAAGACATCAGTGTGAGCACAAATGAAAATGAAGAACAGAGGGAAAGAAGGGCAAGAGAGAAAAAAACGATGAGAGGAAGTCAGGAAGGAAGGAAGTATGGAAGGCAGGGAAGACAAGCCAAAAGGGGGGAAGGAAGGCAACAGGAAGGCAACAGGAGGAAAGAATACTCTTTTTTTTTTTTTTTTAAGACGGCCACTTGTTTCATCAACTTGATGAGAAAGTTAAAATACCATCAATACAGAATGAAACCTTTGTCTAGAAAAAATAATTTCCAGGAATTCCTAGTTATCAAGTCACTGTATAGAAACATAGAAGAAAAACCCCTCTCGGTATAAGCTAGAAAGGCAGGAAATGTCTGACACCTCACAGTTCCAACTTGACTCATCAGCTTTGTGGATTATGGATGGGTTTAAAAAAGGAATGATTTTATGATCCAAGGTGGCATCCTCCATCTCTCTACCACTTCCCTTCACCCCACTGTTATCTGATTCCAGACTGCAGATTCGTGTCATACCACCTAAAAAAGAGTATATCTATTTTTTTTTAAAGCAAAGGAACAACAAAATAAAATAACTTCATATAATGTATCTGGATAAAATGAGTTTGGCGCATGGTTTGAAAGGATGCATCAGTATATATAAGTGACGTGGCAATTATACAAAGAATGAGCTGCAAAGTTAGAAGTAATCGAACTGTGGGGCACCTGGGTGGCTCAGTTGGTTAAGTGACTGCCTTTGGCTCAGGTCATGATCCTGGAGTCCCGGGATCGAGTCCCACATCGGGCTCCCTGCTCAGCGGGGAGTCTGCTTCTCCCTCTGACCCTCTTCCCTCTAGTGCTCTCTGTCTCTCATTCTCTCTCTCTCAAATAAATAAATAAAATCTTAAAAAAAAAAAAGAAGTAATCGAACTGTATTGATTCTTCTCCCCTTATGTGATTCAGTGAAGAGAAAATTAGTGTAACAGATGAGAAGGAGGCCTGGTAAATATCCTATTCTAAATGCATGCCACATCCTATAAAAAAATATTCAAATATTCAACACGGAAGTCCAGTGAAGTTTAAAGAGCATGTTTTGTCCCCTGCTGGGACATTCCTCAGCCATGTGTCATAGCACTGTCCCAGGGATCAGGGGACATCAGCTATGGACTATGCATGGATAAGTAATATGCCACCAGCATACCTGGTGGGAAGTATTCTTTTATAAATATCATTCCCAAGTATGATTTTATAACTTCACATTGTGTCACCGATTATCTACAGAAATGCCAGGAAATTCTCAAAACTAATTATTTCACACAGGGCATGTGGAGCACATCTTGGAAGAGAAAGACTATTGTAAACAAAGTGTAATAGTAAAAGAACACTGTGCCTTCAAAAGGATGCAGGAAAATATCCTCAATTTGATGTATATTTATAAGCTATTTGTCAGAGTGAGGTTCTGGAACAAGACTACAGAGCATGTATGCTAAGAAAATTGTATCCCCCCATTTTTCCAAGACTGATCAGGAACTATACAGATACTTACATCTTATACATTGATACACATATGTCATTGGCTTTATACCTCTGATCCTCCTGGAGAAAAGTCTAAACTTTTTTAAATAACAGATGCTTCACTAAATATTCATGTAAAAAAATCTACGGACAAGTTTCAGAACAGTACTTAAAAATACATTAAATTGTAACTTCCCCAAGAGTTTTAAAGGCAAATGCTCCCTCATATTGACAAACTGTGTAAAGATGAGCACCAATTCATGTTACCTTTTACTATGCAGTTGAATTCTCGTCCAATACAGAGGCTTCATGGGCCGACAAGGCTCTACTGGTTGCTTCCTACTCCCTCTGTCTTGGTTCAGCCCTAATCCAAACAAGCCAGCTGGCAACGGAGGAGGAAGAAAGCCACACACTTGCGGTGCTGATAAAGTGCTACTTCCAACCTGAGGGGGGAGTGGAGGGCCTAATCCAGGAAGCAGAGGGGGTGGGGGGATGCCTGATCCAGAAGTGGGAGGGGGAGTGGGAACAGATGGAATCCCCATACCTGGCAGGGGAGGAGGAGGAGGTATTCCCACTCCAGGAAGAGGGGGGGGAGGAGGTATTCCCACTCCAGGAAGAGGGGGGGGAGGAGGTATTCCCACTCCAGGAAGAGGGGGAGGAGGAGGTATTCCCACTCCAGGAAGAGGGGGAGGAGGAGGTATTCCCACTCCAGGAAGAGGGGGGGGAGGAGGTACTCCCACTCCAGGAAGAGGAGGGGGAGGGGGTACTCCCACTCCCGGAAGAGGAGGGGGAGGGGGTACTCCCACTCCAGGAAGAGGAGGGGGAGGGGGTACTCCCACTCCAGGAAGAGGAGGGGGAGGGGGTATTCCCACTCCAGGAAGAGGTGGGGCAGGAGGTATTCCTTCACCTGGCAGGGGAGGGGGAGGAGGTATTCCCACTCCAGGAAGAGGAGGGGGAGGGGGTATTCCCACTCCAGGAAGAGGTGGGGCAGGAGGTATTCCTTCACCTGGCAGGGGAGGGGGAGGAGGTATTCCCACTCCAGGAAGAGGGGGTGGAGGAGGTATTCCCACTCCAGGAAGAGGTGGGGCAGGAGGTATTCCTTCACCTGGCAGGGGAGGGGGAGGAGGTATTCCCACTCCAGGAAGAGCGGGGGGAGGAGGTATTCCCTCACCTGGCAAGGGAGGGGGAGGAGGTATTCCCTCACCAGGCAAAGGCGGAGGAGTGGGGGGTAGCATTTCTGTACCAGGAAGAGGAGGAGGTGGGGGGATGGCTGTACTGGGCAGAGCAGGCCCTGTTGTGCCAGGGAGAGGGGGAGGTGGAGGGACCACCATGCCCACTCCAGGCATGGAGCTGGAAGACTCTGTGCAAGGCAGAGGTGGGGAGGGTTGGATGCTATGGCTGTTGTCAAAGGAAGAGAAAACAGAGTATTGATGGCTGGTTTCAGACTCAGTATGAAGAGAAGGATGGGAAGGTTGTGACCCGGCCTGTCTTTGACTGTCAGACCTCGGAAGGGATGGAGGTGCAGGAGGCAAAGTGGGCTGATGTGTGTCGAGCTGTACTGATATTCGCCTTGGAGACACAATCAAAGAAATCTCTGAGCAGAATTTTGTCTGAGGTCCAGAAGGTGAGGAGGGCATAGCTGAGTCTCCACTTTCGGGCCCAGGTGGGCAGGGAGGACACTCTGGTAGTGCATTAACAGAAGGCAGTGTCGGTATCCCACCCTCTTCTGTCGGGGACGTCTGGATTGACTTTGCCTGAAAAATCCTTTGATGATGTACATCCTTTTCTCCTAACCTGAGAGCTTCAAGACAGACACCTTCTAACGAGGCCACTCCATTGTGAGCCCCATGACGGCCACTGGCCACATCCACATCCAGGGCAGGATACTGCTTCTCCAGCTCAGCTATTTTGGTCCTCAGATCCTCAATGGTCTGTTCCAGCTGCTGAATTACAGTTGCCTGTCCTTCAGACTTCATGTCAAAAACTTCCTGAGGGGCAACAAAGTTAAATATAGTTAAATAGAAAATAAGGATCAAAAAATATTAAAATAATAAAATAATTTTAAAACTTGCAAAATACATTTGTTTGTTGTAATACTTCCAGAAAGATCCCTCAATAGAAAGACACTATTAGTATTTCTATGTATCCCCTCTTTTCCACCCTTGGACTTCAAAGTGGTTCACACACATTACCATAAAGGCCAAAGGCCCTTGTTTGTCTGTTCTTTAAATGATATCACTAAAGATAAGTAGGCCACTGAGAATAGGGGAAAAAATCCTGAGTGACAAACCAATTTATTTCCAAGACAGCCTCCTCTCATACCTGCCCAGTACCACTTGCTCTTAAATCAGTCCCTAAAGACATTTTAAATCCTCAGTTTTAAAAGTTATCACTACATTTTAAAGGTAGTCACTGAAAGAGTCTCCAATAAGATTATTTGAAATAGCTTTGACATCTGTGTGCACATGTATCATTTCACTTCCATCATGTTTTACTGTAATTTTAATCTCTTACCGAAGGCATTTCAGAAAGTGATACCTATGACTCTGCACAATTTATAAAGACGTCTGATAACAACCGGGCCAATGTAGGGGTCACCCTCACCTCTAAATGGTGTCTTCCATTCCCAACGCATAGAATCAACCAGAAATCCTTAAAGAAAAAGAAAATGCTTTGGGGTGAAAAAAGGGGAAAGTCCTATGGGTAAATTAAATATGAATAACAGATGACAAAATGAAAAGAGAAGAACAAGCCATGGGTAAAGATAAAAGTAGGAAAAAAGGAATAGGAGAAGGTAAAAGAGATGGGAGGACAAACCCCAGCTGTGTGAAGCTACAACGTCAGACAACTGCTCAGACAGACACGGATTTGCTCATTCGAGGCTGGAATACAAGGCAAAGAGAATGTGGGAGAGTTCTCCTACTGCCAGCTGTTTCTTCAGAGTGTCCTAGGGCTTTCCATAGATGATTCCAATAGAGGCCTCCATAATTAGCCATAGTCCACAGACACACGCATCTATTACCTTCCCCACATGGGAGCCTGAAGCTGCCACTCCAGGCCTGCTCTTTACAAATAATGAAAGAATAATTAAGAGATAATACCAGGATTATGTTCAGTGTAAAACCAAACTCATATCCTGCTTGCCCAGGGGTAAACTCTGGATCCAAGAAAACTCTCCACAAAATAAAAAATAAATTTTTTATTTCCCCTTTATTAAATTCAAAACAAATACCTAAACCCATCTGCAATGGAAAAACTGCAGATGAACAAGACAGAAATGTTCTTTCTGTAAATGTATTTACAATATTTACTATAAATGAAGCATTTTTGGTGCTATGTGTATAGTTGTTAAAAATCTTCAGAGCTAGGTACCCATCCCTCCCATGGGGAGTAAAGAATGTATAAACTTAATAGTCTTAATACTAACCCCTGTTACTTCTTCCCTGGAAACCCTAACTCTTGCTACAACATTCAACTTGCTTTACACCAATTATGATGCTTGTTGAGAACTAAGGAGAACCTGTAACTTCAGAGTCATGGTCCTTACACAAGGTGCTTTATTTCCCTATTGTCATATAATGCCACATGGCCCTTACTATGGAAGAAAACTGAAAGGGAAATTAATTTGCTTTTCAACTAATAAAAGAATGTAATTCACTTTAAACAGGCAAAAATTTGAGAGGCACCTTTTATTTATTTGTAAATATAGATATTCCTATATACATTTAGATACTTTGTTGCTATTTTTCATCAATGTCTACACAAAAGACTAAAGTATTACAATGCATGGTTTGAGAAATCACGCCATATATTTTCTAAATGGTCCATGGTTAAAAAAAATAACTATAATAATATCTTTTTTGACTACTGTACTTCATTCCACTCTCCAATTATGATGCTAGTAATTATAAGAACAAACCAAAAGCCAAAAGACTAGCTCCCAAATTAATCCCAATACAACACATAATTATTCAGTACCTCTTTCTTACCCTGGGTTAGTAAAATGTAAGATTACTTTCATTTCTCCAGCATAACCTTAAAAGTAAAAAGATTAGGTGATGAAAGGCACACAAGAAGTAAATTCTGGAAGAGTTTTCTAAACTCATTTCTTAAATGTTATTACTGAGGTCAGCTCTTTTTCATTGTAGATTTGAATATAATGAAAGCACTATATGACCTCTTCTTCATAAGGCCATTATTCCCAGGAGCAGGAAACATAATAGGACTTTCTAACACAAAGAAGAAGACAGAGACTTAGACAAAATGCCAAGATGGAGGAATTCATCCCAAATGAAACAACAAAATAAGATCACGGCCAGAGATCTAACTGAAACAGATACAAGTAATATGGCTCATGGAGGCTTTAAACAACAATCATAAGGATGCTCACTGGGCTTGAGAAAAGCGTGGAAGACTTCAGGGAAACCCTTACCACAGAGATAAAGGAGTTAAAAAACAATCAGGCAGAAATGGAAAATGAAATAACTGAGATTCCAAAGAGACTGAAAGCAATGAACACAAGGATGGAAGAGGCAGAGGAATGAATAAGTGATATAGAAGACAAAATAATGGAAAATAATGGAGCTGAGTAAAAGAGAGAAAGAGGAATTATGGAATACAAGAATAGACGTAGGGAATTCAGTGACCCCATCAAATGTAGTAACATTCATATTATAGAAGTCCCAGAAGATGAAGAGAGAAAAAAGGGGCAGGAAATTTATTTGAGGAAATCATATCTGAAAACTTCCTTAATCTGGGGAAGGAATATAATGAAAGCAATATAAAAGTAAAGGACATGAAGGAGAAGGAAGAGAAATAAGACGAGGAATTAATCCTAAATCATAACAGCCTAGCACAATAGCAATGATTACACTTCTTTCTACATGGATTTATGCTCCCACATTTACAAGCCAACTAGTCCCAACACAGCACTCAAAGCCAATGATCATAGAAAGTCATAGTACCAGTGACTGGAAAGATTCCTGAGATTTTCAGCCTTTCTAATTACTTACACCAGCCAGCAGGAAAAAGATAAAAGAGTATCCCATTACACATGATATAACAGAAAAAGACTTCTTAAATGGAATCAAGACAATTTGGCAGTTACTGCGGATTGACTCCCAACCTCTAGCTCCCTCTCCTTCTATGTGCAGAAGTGGAAAGAAAAACTACATTTACAGACCCCCTTGCAGTTATGTTCATCCAATTAGATGTACTTGCACAGAGATTTAGAAAGTGGAATGAGATAGGAACTCATACTCCAGTGTCCTTAACTGTTCTGTTAGCAATCAAGATCTGCTAGCTGGAAGCTGCTCTGGAACAACATTCCACTGTCCACTCTCCAGTTTCCAATGGTAGCCTCAAAGGTTTTAGCTTCCCTGGTATACCAGTTGTATATGATCCCTTTGAAAAGTTTCAGCCTAGAAGTAGATCTTTCAAACTTCCTAACCTCTTTATGAAAAAGTTAACTTTATATAGTAAACCCTTCTGTTTAACATGTCTACTATGGTTTCTGGCTCCTCAATAAAGCCTGACTGATATAACCATGTACCAATATTTCAGAATAAAATATGGAGGGGAAAAAAGGCTCCTCCTGTAAGCATCCTGAGGTAATCTCTAAAAATGTTCACTATTCACTTGACCCAGAAAATCTAACAACATCATGCAAATCAAGACGTTCAAATTTTCATGTTCACTTTAAGAACACTAGTGAAACCACTCAGGGTATGCATATGGGAAAAGCCACTAAGTATCTGAAAGATGTCACTTTATAGAAGCAATGGATGCCATTCCATAGTTACAATGGTACGGTTGGTAAGTATGCCCAGGCCAAAGAATAGAGCTGGACACAGAGTCAATGTCCCAAAAAGAATGCTGAATTTTTGCTGCACATGATGAAAAATGCAGACAGTAATGCTGAACTAAAGGGTTTAGATGTAGATTATCTGGTCATAGAGCACATCCATGTAAACAAAAGCCCCCAGACATATACTGCCAGATTTATAGAGCTCACAATCAGATTAACCCATACATGAGCTCCCATCACCACACTGAGATGATCCTTACTGAAAAAGAAAAAGTTGTTTCCAAAAGAAGAGGAGATTGCACAGGATTAAAAAAAAAAAAAAAGATATCCCAGAAGAAAATGAGGAAACAAAAACTTATAGCTTAGGAATAAATTCAGCATAAAATAAATGCAAATAAAAATTTTTTTTTAATTGTGGAAAAAAGATCCTCTCTTCCTAAGAAAGAAAGAAAGAAAAAATAAAGCAACTAAGCGAAATAAGTCAATCAGAGAAAGACGTATCATATGATCTCACTGGTATGAGGAATTCTTAATCTCAGGAAACAAACTGAGGGTTGCTGGAGTGGTGGGGGGTGGGAGGGATGGGGTAGCTGGGTGATGGACATTGGGGAGGGTATGTGCTATGGTGAGCGCTGTGAATTGTGTAAGACTGATGAATCACAGACCTGTACCTCTGAAACAAATAATACATTATATGTTAAAAAAAAAAAAAAGAAGAAGATAGGAGGAAGGGAAAAATGAAGGGGGGGAAATCAGAGGGGGAGACAAACCATGAGGGACTATGAACTCTGAGAAACAGGGTTTTAGAGGGGAGGGGGTAGGGGGATGGGTTAACCCGGTGATGGGTATTAAGGAGGGCACGTTCTGCATGGAGCACTGGGTGTTATATGCAAACAATGAATCATGGAACACTACATCAAAAACTAATGATGTAATGTATGGTGACTAACATAACATAATAAAATAAAATTAAAAAAAAAGAAAGCAACTATATCCTTATTTCTAAAACAATGTTTTCTCCTAATGGTAAGCATGAACAAATTGTCAGAATTAAAATGATTCAAGTGTTAATTTTCTACAGCACAAACTTTCCATCATATATATATAATACCATGATATATGACATCTTTTATGAAAAGATGGTCATTTTTTTATAGCACTGGAGAAATTCATCCTTTTCCC